CCCCGTGCTACCCGCCGCCAGCCCCTCCATGACCAGGCTGAGGAGAGGTGAGCCAAGGGTAGGCAAGGTGGCCGGTGGCCGGATCGATTGTTTTTCTAATATTGAACCATTCTTGCATCCCTGAAATGAATCCCACTTGGTCATGATGTATACTTTTTGTTTTGGTATGTTACTGAATTCTATTGGCTAAAATTTTGTTGAGAATTTTTGCATCTATGCTCATGAGGGACATTGGTCTATAATTTTCTTTTTTAGTTATTCCCTTGCCTGGTTTTGGTCTGAGCGTTGTACTCGCTTCATAAAATCTATTTGGAAATTTACCATCCATTTGTATATTCTGGAATAGTTTGAGTAAGTTGGTGCCAGTTCTTCTTTAAATGTTTGGTAAAATTCACTAATAAAGCCAATTATCCCTGGACTTTTTTTTGGTTGGGAGTTTTTTGATGACTTGATCAATTTCTTCATTTGTTATAGGTCTGTTCACATTTTCTACTTGACTCTATGTTAGTTTAGGTAGATTGTGTTTTTCTAAAAGTGTATCCATTTCCTCTAGAGTTCTAAATTTGTTGGAGTTGTCTCATGTACTTTGAGCATGTCATTAAAGGGGAGAAAGGATACCATGGTTGGTAAAGTAGAGAGTTGGCAGAAAAGAGGCAGAGCATCAACAAGGTGGATTGATAAGACATGCAGCAGTGTGCTCAAATGACTTCACAATGATTGTGGGGATGACGTAGGACTGTACATTATTTTATTCTGTTGTACATAATGTTGTTATGTAGGAAAGCACTGACAGCACTTAACAACAACAGACACCATCTTAATATGAGCCCTTGTGATGAAGTGGGTGCTAACAACATTGGCCAGTTTGAATTCACCTGCTGCTCCTTGGAAGAAATATGTGTTGTTCAATTTATGTACAAGGAGCTCTGGTAGTGTAATGGTTACGAGTCGGGCTGCTAACCTCAAGGTTGGCATTTCGAAACTACCAGCTGTTTTGTGGGAGAAAGAGGAGGCTTTCTGCTCCTATAAAGATTTACAGCCTTGAAACCCTGTGCAGAATCACTATGAGTCGGAACAGACTTCACGGTACTTAACAACAACAACAACAACTTATGTACAAGGTTACAACCTGGGAATCTGAGGTGATACTTCTACTCTGTTCTGTTGAATTACTGAGTTGGAATTAATTTGTTAGTAATGAGTCTTTTTCTGGTGGGTGGGGCAGGTTGTTTGAACATTTTAATAATCATGATGACTTTTAATACAGTAGTTTTAATTCTCCTTTTCTAATCTGTATCCCTTTTTCCCCTTCTTTTTCGTTTGCCTTTTTGTACTAATTAGAACCTTCAGCTTTAGTATGATGTAACGTAGAAACATTTAGGGCAGACATTCTTGTCTTGTTCTTGAGGTGTCACCACTAAGTGTTTAGACTGAAGGCTTTTTCATCACATTGAAGTTCTTTTCTAGTTTGCTGAGATTTTTTTTTTGTATGTCTTAATTCACTGTTGAGTTTTTCTAATAATTTTTCTATCTCTACAAGATAATTGTATAATTTTAATCATACTTTTAATTGATGTGAAGTCAGATGACATTAAAAAAGTATTAACCATACTATAGGCATTATTTGTGTTTCACAGTCCTCCCCTCTCCCTACCCCACTGTTCCCCAGCCCCCCTTTCCCAGCACCATTGGCCTTTTTTTTTTTTTTTTCCTCCCATTCCTGTATTCAATCCAAGGTACCATTTAATTGTCTTGTTTTACCCCGGAAGAGCATTCTGTGACACGTTCTGAGTCTTTCCCTGTTTCATGATATTGACACTTTGGCCAGGTCTAATCTAGTTAGAGAGAGTAGACCTGGCCAAACTATCAGTGTAATTCTATAGAGAGTGGTTGGTGGTGGTTATGTGCCGTGGAGTCAGTTCTGACTCATAGCTACCCTGTACAGGGTTTCCGAAGCTGTAAGTCTTTATGGGAACAGAAAGCCTCATCTTTCTCCCGTGGAACAGCTGGTAGTTTTGAACTACTGACCATGTGGTTCGCAGCCTGATTGGTAACCATTATCAGATATATGGTCACCAAATAATTTCTCCCATTTTCTGAGTTGACTCTTCATTTTCTTGATAAATTCCTTTGATGCACAAAGTGTCTGATTTTAATGAAGTCCAGTTTATTTTGTCTTTCACACTCATGTTTTTGGTGTTATATCTAAGAATCTGTTGTTGAAAGCAATCTCTAAGCATTGCCTCTGTGTTTTCTTCTGTTTTATGGTTTTAGTTCTTATATTTAGGTGATGGATCTCTTTTGAGGTTATTTTAGTATATGGTGTGAGGTAGAGGTCCTACTTCATTCTTTTGCATATAGAATTAGGTACCCATTATATTAGTCTGTAACTAATATAGTAAACAGTCATTAGTGTCATATAGAACATGTGTGATACAGTGCAATATAAGAATTATTGATGAAGAAACTACTGTTAGTTTGAAAAGGTAAAGTTTTGTTGTGAATACTAATACGTTGTTGTTAAATGCCATTGAGTGCAGTTCTGACTCACAGGGACCCTGTGTAGGGTTTCTGAGAAACAGTTGTTGAGTTTGAATTGCTGATTTTGGTGGTTAGCAGTCCAGTGCTTATTCTACAGTACTGCTCCATGACTCCTACTAATATAGTACATTTAAAATAAAAATAAAACAGGAAGTGACTGAAGAAAAAAAAATCCAATTATATTCCTATAGGCCAGATTAGTAATCATGAACTCTAAATAATGGAAATGAAGTCTAAAAAAGTGAGAGGTTGAAGGACCTGTTTTGGAGGCTGGGGTAGGGAGGTAAGGGACCAGCAAATGTTGATCATTTACTTTGCAATGAGAATCAGAGAATAATTGGATAAGAAATTAGAGCTTTGATCCTGTGTTACTGGAAGGGATCCGATGTTCTCTAACACAAGTTGCAAGATAAGTCACATACTAATAAGCTTACACAACGTTATTCATCATATTTTTTATGCAAATGACATGTGTATTAGGAATTTTTCTTTTTGAGATAGTGTAAACCACCCCCTCGCGCATATTAGTTTTCTATGTGTATTATATGCATGTGTGCATAGGTGTGTTATATATGAAAAAAATGAAACTATAATTTATTGATGCTATTGAACTTTCCTAAAATCTAAAGTTTTGAAGTTCTTTATTACTCTTAGTTTTATTTATGTTGGGTCTCTCAAAAGTTTACCTAGCATCAGGATATGAGATTTTCTATATTAACTGTAGTTGAAATTTTTCTCACATTTACATTAATTTCAATATTTGTGATTAATTTTTTTCTGGAGTCAGCTTTGTGTGGTACCTGGTCTTTTAGTTGGAATCCTGATGTGATGCTGTAGGATAAGTACTGGATTGCTAATAGCGAGGTTGGTGGTTCAAACCCACTAGCCCCTCCTTGGAAATCCTATAAAGGGTCATTATGAGTCGGAACTGACTCAGCAGCACTGAACAGCAGCGTAGTAGGAAAATACCCAGTTTGTTCACCTCTTAAATGTAAATAGTTAAAAATATTTTAGCATTCTTCAGTATTTAATTGAAAAGACTGTGAGCTCATTCTCTCTCCTTTTTTGTTTTGTCTGTCTGCTCTGTAAAATAGGGAGGGATGGAAACTTTGGAACTCCAGAAGGACGTAAAAGAAGAATCAGATGAAGAAGATGATGAAGATGAAGAATCGGGGAGATTACGATTCAAAACTGAAAGAAAAGAAGGAACAATTATTAGGCTTTCAGATGTAACTAGAGAGAGAAGAAACATTCCAGAAACTTTGGGTAACTTTTTTATGCCTGTCTACCATCTTCTTCACCCCCATTTCAACTTCCTCCATATTATTGGTATGATTAGTTAAATAGGCCAAAAAAGGTTAACTTTATATATTACTGTGAATGTCATCCAGAGATAAATGGCCTGTTTAAGGTAATGCCACATTACGGTGCTGTAAAATTAAGCCTATAAAATATTAGTCTCTGAATTAAAAATGTTTAAATAAAATGTTTAAAGATTGTTTATTTTTAAGTAATTTTCGTTTTTGAGTCTGTGGCATAGAGCTCTACTCACACATGCAGTGTGAGGCGGTTCCTGGATGACCTTGAGAAGATGGCATCAGATGGCAACTAAGAACCAGCTTACCCTTGCCAAAGTACCATAGGTCCCTAGACCAGCCTGGTTTTATTGTGTACCTTTTACTGTCATCATCATCCTTTTTTATTTTTCCTTTGTTTTTGTCTATTAGTACTTTTAAGTATTTGATGAGATAAAGTGACTAGTTAATAGAAATAATTAATTGAATATCATTCTTAGTAAACATTGCTTTTTAAGATCTCCAGTGGGCTTTTTTTTTTTTTTTTAATGTTTTATTTTGAATTACGTGATAGTTTACATGGGAGAACATTAGCTTTACATTCATCCTATCATATATTATTTCACTTGCAAGGTTACAATCTCCTCCATGCATCATCAACCAACCAAAGGGTATATCCTGCAAGCCTGCCCCCCGGTCGTCAGCACACAGCCCCTCTCCCTCTCTGGGTCTAAAGTCCCCAGCTGCTCCATCTCTCCACGTCATCATCTCTGCCTCCTTCTCAGGAATCAGTGCTTCTCTGGGTAGGGTCCCGTTCTCCGCTCTTCTCCCTTGATATTCCCAGGGACCTCCGCTCCTAGACTGCAAAGTTAATCACTCCCCTCCTTTTGCTACAAAATGTCTACCTTTATATTTTCAAACCTCACAATCAGTCCTGATAACAATTATTCACTGTTTTACCACAAGAGACCTATCCGCATTTCCTTTTATCAGTCCCGCCCAGACAGATTGGATACTACTCAGTGGAGATTTGACCCTCCTCCATACCTTCTGATCTAGGCTCCCTCTTGAAAGCTTGTAAGCTAGTCGCTTCTTGCCTTTTTAGCCCCCCCCCCCATTTCAGGTAGCCAATGTCCAAGTTGCCTATCCCTCCTGTACTTTGTGTATGGAGGGGGTGGGAATGATCCTTGCTGTAAAGATTTGTACCCGCTTTGAGCTACTGCATCCATAGGTGTAGATCAAGTTCATCAAATTATTTCAGATTACTCTTTTTTCCCTCTTCTTCTTCTAGTTGAGCTCTGATCATCTAGTCATTGAAGCCAGGTCAAGTGGGTATTATCTGCAAGTGTGGGTGTTCTTGTGCATATGTCCTCTCTTCTTATCAGCTGACTCTTCACTCTCCACTCTAGTCCTCTGTGGCTGTGTCACTGACTCTGGGCCCAAGAATCCCCAGGTCTTGCTGCACTGCTTGCTGGCCAACCAGGTTTCCATCTGGGTTCACAGGAGTCTACTGAACATTGTAGGGCTTAGCTTGCAGCTTCATTGCTGTTTTTCCCTCACTTTTCCTTATCGGTGACGAACGTGGTCACCAATCAGAGCATGTATTCCCATTGAGTTTTAGTCTTGAAAAGAGCTTTGATCTGAAGGGACCCCACCACTTGCCTTGATGTCTCCTGAGCCAAGCATCTTGCTTGTTCTTGTAGTAATCAGTTGGTCTGCCTATATTATTTTTTATTTTTCATGCAGGTTTTCTTTCAAGAAGTATCTTCTGTTCTTTTAGCCACTCCAGACTGGTCTGCTCGTCCTTTCAACTGGAAATTTCCCACCTCTGAAGATTCTGGATGTGGTTCAGGATCCCACTGTGGTCTTATGTAATGCAAAGGCTCCATAGGAAGCCTCCTTCAGTGGGCACGTTGTAGCCCCATTTTAGGTATTCCAATCAGTTATAGGCAGAAGACGGACTTGCAAGCTTTCTATGGTGATATTTCTGGCTATTCCTTTCTTTCCTCTTCCAGTGTCTGTTTTATAATATAATGCAAGGAAAACCAAGCATCTTAACATTATTTCCCCCTTTTCCCCATTCCAACCATATCTCTATCCCTGTATCCCAGAGCCTTATTCCAGGGTTGTGCATAACTGTCAGCTATTTTTTAACCTATGAAGTGGACCTCCAATTATCTTGAAAGCATTGTTATTGTTGTTGTTGTTGTTGTGAAATGCTGTCGAGTAGGTTCAGACCCGTAGCGACCCTGTATAGGGTTCCCGAGGAACAGCTAGTGAGCTTGAACCACCGACCTTGCAGTTCAAACAGCTTTGCAGTCTGGCATAGCACCACACCAGGATTCCTCGAAGCATTAGAAGCAGTCAGTAAATTTATTCTTTCACTAATCTACCCATACATTTATTTTAGTCAGGCCGTTTTTATTTATTATAAACGAATAGATGTCCAGATTTCATGTTAATCTGTTTTATTGGTATATGCAACATATTACATTGTTGTTTTATTATTTCAGCTTTAAGAATTATTTAAGGCAAATGATTTTTGGAAAAAAATATCATCTAGTAAGCAGTTTCGGAGTTCTGATATGACACTGTAAGATAAGCATTGAGCTGCAAGGTCAGCAGTTCAAACCCACCGCTGCTCTTCAGAAACCCTATATAGGATCACTGTGAGTCAGAACCTTCTTGACCGCACTTAGCAACAGCAACAAACAGCAATTTAAGAGCATTAGTGCCAGCAATAATATACTGTCCTAAATTTTTATCATGGTTCTTTTATATGCAAACCTTTCTTTCGTTTCTTGATTCAGTCATCTTTAAAAAAAAAACACACACACACACACAGAAAACCATATATGAGGCTTTCTTCTGCTCCTGCACAGATTTAAAGCCTTAGAAACCTTATACAGGGTCACTATGAGTCAGAACCAACTCAACAGTAGTTAATATCATTTCAGTTACTTTTATTTTGTCAAACAAATTGTGTATTTCACATTTATCCATTATGTATTAGTCCAATGTATAATTATAAAATTATTTACGTGCAAATATGTATTAATATTATAGAAAAGAACAATATAGTGTAAAACTTGGTTATATCGAGCTATCTCTCTTTACTTTAAAATCTGGACATAGTTCAGAAAACACTTAAAGTGAAATTAACATTTCAGTTGAAGTTACAAGTGTAATTTCCATCCTGTCATATTTTGGTGACCTTTTGTGACAGCTTGTCTCAATTGGAGGAAAGCATTTTTACTTGCTGATTAAAGATGTCATTTGAAACCATTTTATTACTGGGGATACTGAAATTAATCTTGACACTTAGAACCACTAGAAAAATAATTGCTGATTCACTGCATAAAGTGTGTATGTGAACCAGTGATGTAGTCAAGATTAGAATAAAAGTCATTCCTTGTTAGAAAGAGATTAAATCTTCTTACAAATAGGTTTTAGATTCTTTTGAAAGGGAGGGGATACCATAGAAACAAATGTGGCTTAGAGGTTTTGGAAAAACTTGGAGCTTATATGGAATCAAAGGTATATGAGGTAGAATGTGGGAATCTTTTCAGATTTACTCTTCAGTGTGGAAAAAAGCATAGGAATGCTTCTCAGTATTACTTAATGAAATCTTTATTAATGTATATACATTTCCCAGTGTAAGCTGTATTTCCACAATTAAATATTATTTTAAAATTCAGGGCCTATATTTAGACTCTTTTGTTGGATCTTAGAATAATGTGCCAATGGAGTATAAATTCATGTTTTATATTCTAAAACATTGGGCAGGGTGGTGAGCCATCTACTAAATGGTCAACAGATGTTTGAATTAGTAAGTTTTTATTACTATGTAACTTTGCTTTCATTTGATATGACTTCTAAATCAGACTTTGTATTTATAAGAGTCTCCACACAATAAAACTTTGTATAAGTCCGAAACTTCGAATGAGTTTTTTATTCTTCTGGTACTTGGCATCAGGATGATTTTCTTTATAGTTTTAGTTTTAAATCAGAGCAAGCAGTGCTTTATTTTGTTTCCTGAGTTGCTGTATAGTGTGTGTTACTAATACTTATTTCATTGGCTTTAATATGAAAATAGTACTCATGGAGGCACTGCTGTAGCCAACTGATGACTGATGTCAGTTGGTTTTTCTAAAAATGGTATGGCAGTGGCCAGTTTTAGAGAAAATGGTCACACAATGATTAGCATTTAAGGGCAGTTGTTAAATGTAACTTTGATACCCCTTTCCCCCCTTGTAGCTTTCATCAGCATTTTATTGATCTCAAATGAAATTAAAAAAAAAAAAATTTCAGTAGATAACATTTTATTTCAAAGGAAGAGCCTGTCTTTCTTGAACCGATAATATGTAAAGGATATTGAGTGCCACTGATTTGACCCTATTTGCTATTACAATTTCAGTGTTTACCGAGGGTGAAGCACTTGCTGCTCCAGCATTTCATTATCATGTATTTCTCCTCACAAATCTGTTTTACTCTCTTGGAAGAGGTATCTAACACATACACTTTTTTTTCAAATAGAACTTTCAGCTGAAGCCAAAGCTGCGTTGCTTGAATTTGAAGAACGAGAGCGACAGCATAAGCAGGGCCGCTACGGTTCAAGGCGGGGAGGAAGGAGAGGAGGTTCTTTAATGTGTCGTGGAATGGGAGACCAGAGAAGAGACAACAGTGAGAGGGGAAGAATAAAAGACCATAGACCTGCCCTGCTACCTACACAGCCTCCTGTAGTGGTAATTTATTATTATTATTTATTATGATAGCCTTAAACTGAAGCACAAATGAAAAGTGCTTTATGTGGGTTTTACTTTTATCTTTTCTTAATCTGAAATTACAATTTAGTAATATGAATAGTGATTTATGATCTATAGTACGATTTCATACACAGTTCTAGACATCCAGTTCTCATATAATCTGGTGGTGGTGGTTGATTTGTGCTGTCTAGTCAGTTCTGACTCATAATGACCCTTTCTGCGGCTATAAATCTTTACAGGAGCAGAAAACCTCATCTTTCTCCTGAGGAGCAGCTGCTGGATTTGAACTGCTGATCTTGTGGTTAGCAGCTCAACTCATAACCCACTATGGCATCAGGGCTCCTTACATAATCTGGTTGTTGTTGATAAGTGCCATCAAGTCAATTCTGATTTATAGTAATCCTGTGTAGGGTTTCTGAGGTGTGGCTGGTGGGTTTGAGCTGCCTACCTTGTTGTTCAAACTGACCTTGCAGCCCAGTTCTTACCCTACAGCACTGTGGAATAAATAATTCAATACCACAACTACTTAAGCAAATAAGGAATTAATAAGAGACCCAGTGTCCTCAAATAGCAAGAACACTAAACGACCCTTGGTGTTACCTTTTACCTGTATAGAGATACTTCCTCTAAACGTTGTTGTTGATGTTAAATGCTCTCGAGTTGATTCCGACACATAGCGACCCTGTGTACGGTTTCTGAGGAGCAGCTGGTGAGCTTGAACTGGTGACTTTATGATTTAAACTGACTTTGCAGTCCAGCACATTAACCCACAGTGCCAAACGAGGACTTAATACTGAATTTATAAGCTGTATAATTTAGGCAATGGTTGTGGTTGGTTGTTTTATAAAAATATTTTTCTGTTTATACCGTTTACCATAGATTTTCCTGACGTGACAATTTCAGTCAGAATAATTCTCACATCCTATCCATAAATAGGAGCTCTGGTAGTGTAGTGGTTACAAATCGGGGCTCCAAACCGTAAGGTCAGCAGTTGGAAACTACCAGCTGTTCCATGGGAGAAAGATGAGGCTTTCTGTTCCTGTAAAGATTTACAGCCTCGGAAACCCTGTGCAGGGTCACTATGAGTAGGAACCGACTCCACGGCACATAACCACCACCATCCGTAAATACTTAATTTATTTTAGAATTTATTAATCGATCATATATTTGTTATTTTGACTTAATTTTAATTTCCTTTATTTAAAAATATAGAGCATCTCAGAAAAGCAGTTATAGTAATTTTTTTTCATTTTTTAAGTTAGCTTCAGGATTTTATGAAGTTTTCCTTCAAATGTCAGTCTTTAAAACAAATTTATATAATAAAATATGTGTTTATTGTATCTTCTACTTGTCATTTATATGAATTTAGAGGAACACCAACTTTTCCTCTGTGTAAAAAATGTCATACTTTAATAAGTACACATTTGTGAAGTTAATTAGAAAAGATTATTTGTGGTTTTAGCACAGGACCTCCATCTAATTCTGATGTAAAGAAATGAAGAGGAGCCATGGTTTAATTAGGAACTGTGGTAACTTACTGATTAGAAGTCAGGTTGCTAACCTCAATTCAAGCTCTGTGGTTAAGTGCCAGCTGTTCTGCGGGAGAAAGAGGAGGAATTCTGCTCCCATAAAGATTTACAGCCTTGGAAAACCTATAGCAGGGTGGCTATGAGTCGGAACTGACTCCACAGCACACCACCTCAGTGCTACCATGGCTTAATTACTGCATATAGAACTTGATGATATTAGTAACTGCTTTTTGTTCACAAACTTTTTTGTTCTTACATACATTTCTAATATCAAAAAGCCTCAACCTCAGTTTCTTTTTTTTTGGCTTTGCCATCTCCCTACCTTCTCTTTTTCCCTCTGTCTCAGCCTATGCTTGCCGTATATTGAATAGCAGATTCAATGGGATGGTAACACGACACAGAAGACCTGTTTTTTCATAACCATGAGCCTGTTATCTTGGAAAAGTCACTGAACTTCCTGTTTCTTCTCCAAACAGAGGAAATACATGCCTCGCCTACCTCACTGAAACAGGCTAAGCTCAGAGAACTAACAGTTCACTTAGAGATGGCAGATCATAGTGAATTTAAAAAGGACTAAAAACAAACTCCTGAAGAACCCCACAATTAAAGCAGAAAAAAGGCAAGAGAAGGGACAGAACCAGAACATACAAGAATAAAATTCCATGTACCCCAAAACTGGTTGTAGTTCTCCCAAGACTAGAATTGTAAATTCTACGTACAACTTAGGATTCAAGTCAACTTAATTTCTAAAATACTTTTCTTGCCCTGACTCTCTTTAAGTTGTAGAGCCTCCCTCTCCCAGCTGTCTAGTACATCTCGACACAGTGTTTCATAGTCCCTAAACTTTACTTGCTTGCAACAACACAGGATCTTCCCCTTTAAATTCCTTTATGCTCTTCAGTTAATTGTTATTTTCAGTTCAGTTCAGCTTTTAACTGTGCATCCTTATGTCAATTCATGTACTACCTGTAGGTGTACAATTGTGAAGACTAGAAACTAGATTCCTGCTCTTCTACGTAATCACAAATGTGATGAGTTAGGAAAAGGATGTACAAGATTCTGTGAATTTACTAACAGATTTAAACTATTACACTAGAATGTTTGGAAAACCTACGCAAGGAAGGGATAGTTAAGTCAAGGCCATATAGAATTTGATTTTAGATTCAATTCATTCCTCTAAAATGTCTTTTCCTTACAGCTTTCCTGGTTCACTTCAGACCATGACTGTTCTTCCATTGAACTCTTGCTAAAGCCTATTAAGTGGTCTTTTTCTTCCTCTATACCTAGTCCATCTTACCCATTGTTTGCAATTATATTCTTCCCGCACATTTCCTCCAAAGAGATCATCGGTGATTCTTCATTAGACACATTGCATATGGCATAATTACAAAGTCATTGGTTTGCTGTTCAAAAGACCACCTAATTTGGCGCCAACTCAGGGAAAACTTGTACTTGTTGTTGCCAAGTGCCGTCATGTCAGTTCTGACCCATAGTGACTCTGTATAGGGTTTCTAAGGGGTAGCTGGTGCGCTTGAACCGCCCTCCTTGTGGTTCAAAACGACTGCAGTCCAGTGCATTAACCCACAGCGCCACACCTATTCTATTGCCTCTACTGTGAGGTTGGCAGTGTGGCCTGTATTGAGTAGTGAGTAGTTAAAAACACAGCTTTTAGAATATCATTATCTGAATTCAAATCTCAGCTCTTCTAATCACCGACTATTTTACTTTGAAAAAAGAATAGTAACAGAACTTACTACAGTATGTTTGAGATGATTAAGTCAGTTAATTTATATATGTTGTTGTTAAGTGCTGTTGAGTGGTTCCGATTCATAACCACCCTGTGTAGGGTTTCTAAGAAGCAGCTGATGGGTTTGAATTTGTGACCTTGTGGTTTGGAGTCCAGTGCTGATCCTACGGCATCAGACCCTTTAAATAGGTCCTTAAAATATGGAAGACCTCAGTACACATGAGCTGTTGCTGGTGCTGTGTTAGTGATTTCCTCTCTGGCAACTCTCTTTGACAAAGTAATCCAAGGTCTCTGACCACTTTGTGTAGTTTCCAAATTCTTTCCATCCTTCTTCTTTTTCAAAGAAGTATGGCCAGGGCCATAGTTTACTTCACCAAACATGTAAACACTTCTGCTTCTCTGCTTCTTTTAGGAAATGCTGTTTTTCTTTCGGTATTACACATCTCTTTTCTTCTTTCAGAACCTAGTTCAAACACCAACTTTTCAAAGCTTTTCCCCATCGCTCTAGTGCAGTTGCTGTCTTCCCCACTTCTCTCTGTCCCTTTGTGTTTGTCTCCTACCTCATTTTGTAGTAGCATTACTTATACGTGCTTCCTGCCTTGTTTTTTTTTTTTTTTAAATAAGATTCTGTGTAGGACAAGGAGTAGGACTGTGCATATAGGGAGGGCTGAGAGAGCAGCTTGTCTTTTGTACTCAGCATAGGACTTTGCTCATTGTGGTTGTTTTGTTTCTTGAACTGGATTTTTTTCCTTTCAAAAATTTATGCCAGAGATTTGGGGCTATTTTTTTTTTTTCCTCTTGAGATTGACTCACATTGTCCTTGTGAATAAAAAGAGCAATTTATTTATAGTGCTGTTTATATAGATGCTGTAACTGAGAACTGATTTCTTTAAAAGTAACTTTAAAATTTAATCCATATAAATCTGTAACACAGTATCCTTTTACTTTTCTTCTAAATGTTGATATATTTGAATTTTTCTTTTTGATGGATTTTAGACTCATTCTCCAAGATTAATTCCACCTCCACAGCCACAACCTCCACCTCCACCACCACCACCACCTCCTCAGCAGCAACCAATTAGAAGTCTGTTCCAGCAACAGCAGCTACAGCCTCTGCTTCCCTTACAGCATCCTCATCACCCCTCTCCTCCTCAAGGAATGCATATGCCTCCCCAAATAGAAACCCCTAGAATAATGATGACCCCGCCTCCAGTGACTCCACAGCAGCCCAAGAATATACACATAAATCCACATTTCAAAGGAACTGTAGTAACTCCTGTCCAAGGTATGTTTTGGTTTTTCTTTCTCTTTGACTGTTTTGAAGTAGTGTTACAGGTTACTGTGCATCTAAAGGATGTGTATCATTTTTCACCATGGAAAAATAGTTTTCACATTCAAGTTTATGAAGATGAGTTGATTCCTTTCTCTGTCCATTATAAGACACATTTTAGCTTGATCAGCCAAGTTCATTTGTTTAAACATTTGAGCCACTTATTTTATAATTTACTAGAAAGTACTCAAAAAGCAATTTAAATTTTAAAAACATTTAGATATAATTGTTGAAATGTATGTAATGTCATAGGTCATTAATTTCATGATAATAGTGTTTATAGTAATAAGTGTTAATGTTTGGGTTTTATTCAGTGTACACCATACCATGTTCATTCCAGTGTTTGCTGCTTGAGAGGTACAAATCCACATTTAAACGATTAATTGTAATAGAATAACATTTCTCTTGCTGGTGTTGTTATCCCAGAAGTGTGTTCTTGAATCCGGGAAACCCTTTTTTAGCAATTTATATGAAACATACCTTCCTGTATCTGCTTAACATACATTTATTGAGCTATTACTTTCTGCCCAGCATTTGAATATTGGTGAATAAAACAGACAAAACTTCCTACAATCATGAACTTGGCATTTTAGCAGATACAGACAGCCAATAAGCAAACACATAAGTCAGGAGTTGATATTAGTTTGCTAGACATTCCTCTTCTCCCTACCTTTTCTGTCACAGGACGATGGGAAGGTGTGACACTTGGGCTATAGAGGAAACCAAGAGTGCAGAGTACGAGAAGCCAAGTGAAAACCAAGTATCAAAGGGGTGGGGAGCGGTTACTGCTGACGGGGCAGTGAGATATGGGCTGTGCTGCTACAGTACTTCCCACCCTGTGGAGAACTGCTTCACCTAGGCCTCCTGTAAGACCAGGCTTCGGAAGGGCAGGGACTGTGCATTGCCTCCATTTCATCTCCAGTCCCCAGCATGGTGCCAGTCTCTAATTAAATCACAGTTTGAGAGAATGAGTGAATGCATACCTGGTTGCAAGGGCAGCATATGATTCTCATTAAAATAGTCCTTGGCAGATTGTTACTTACAAGCATTTCCCTAATGTGGAACTGTAATAATTCTAATTTGTTGGACTAATTTTACTTATGTCCGTGTCTACTATTTATTTTCTTGTAAAATTAAATGGGAAACTGACCGTTGGTATGGTACATAGATTTTCTTTAGAAGTCTAAGAGTGGCACTGCAGGTTAATGTGCTGGACTGCAAGGTCAGTTTGAAGTGCAATTCTGGAGGTTAAAACTCCTCAAGCTGCTCTTTCCAAACCCTATACATGGTAGCTGTGAATTGGAACTGATACAAAATCACTTAACAACAACGTCAAGAAAAATACAATCCTTTTAAGAGCTACATAGTGGTAAAGTGAGAAGAAAACGCTAAGGATGTCTTCGGGTATGAAAATGATGTGATCCCCCGCCCCCTACGCCCCCAAACCAGGTGTCTTAAAAGGTATAGTATACAGGCTTTGTATCCCCAAAGCTACACGAATGGTTCAGTGAATACATGAACTTGTTTACAAGTTTTTAAACTCTCAGAACCAACTAAGATTTTTTTCAGCACGAAATTGGTAGTTTTAGTGACACACATATCTTATCTTTAATGTACCTTTTGTGTACCATGTTTTTCCCTCCATTAACCTTCAAAGAATCGTTGATACAGGTGAGAGAGCAAACTTATCCTTCCTTACTAGGTATAGATACTGAGAAACTTTCAGAGCAGTTGGTTGGTTATTCAGTAGATGAATGAGCTTGAATAGGAATTGATAGTTCTTTAAGTACAAAAAAGGCATATTAATGATAAGACGTGTGGCACTAAAGCTACCTATTTCATGCTGAAAAGAAAGTCTTAGTTGGTTTTGAGAGTTTAAAAACTTGTATTATAAACAAGTTCATGTATTCATTGAACCATTCATGTAGCTTTGGAGGTACAAAGCCTATATTCTATACCTGTTAAAGACATCTTGTTTTGGGGGTGGGTGGGGAAGCTAAATAGGAATCTAGTTCTTTAGAAGGAGCTCTGGTAGAGTAGTGGTTATGAATTGGCCTGCGAACCTCAAGGTCAGCATTTCGAAACTACCAGCTGTTTAATGGGAGAAAGATGAGGCTTTCTGTTCCAGTAAAGATTTACAGCCTCAGAAACCCTGTACAGGGTCATTATGAGTCAGAACTGACTCCACGGCACATAACAACAACAACAACATAGTACTTTAGAGAGGTTATATATCAACTATCTTCTATGTAGTAAGTGTGACTAAATACATCACATAGTTTCTATATATAATAAGTGCAACGCTGTAGGTTCAGTCCTGGACTGTGAACCACAGGTTGGCATTTCAAACCCCCACTATCTGCTCCTTGGAAGAAACCTTATTCAGCTTCATTATGAATCGGCACCTACTTGATAGCATTTAATTAACAACGACGTAGATTTAGCCGGTGACTGTTAGTACCTTGAGATTTTTGGCCTTAGTGGGAATTTTCTGAAGGGAATTTGAGTAAAGGGGGAAAATGGCTAGAGAATGTAGACGGGGAAGAGAAGTGGGGGAGAACATGGAGAGAGATGGACTGAGGAAGAGAGAGAAGATGGGGAGGGACAGATGGAGGGTCAGGGTGGACAGTTCCTGGTACTAAGTACAGATAGACAGAGGAAGACAGGAGCAAATAGACACAGAAGGAGGTGATGGGGAGTGTCAGAGCAGCAAGAAAGAGAGACAGACCCACCAAGCATGTATAGTTCTGGAACCTTTTCCCCATCATCTGTTTCATCAGATTAGATCCATTTTTTTTTACTTTATAAAAAAAAGAACTAAATTTTTAAAATTGAATGCGACCACCTCAACACTCATATCATGGGAGAAAAGCTTGTTTGGGTGGGAGAAGTAGTATAAATAGTTTAAGGAATCTTTTTTTTTTTTTTAAACCTCAAAAGTATTAACTAAGTATTTGCTGACCACCAGTGTTTTTTCATTGTGTAAAGGTCTACTTGTGGGCATTCTGTCTTCCCTTTTTCATACTAACAGTGCATCCTCTTTGGTTTCTACTTTCAAAATCATTTTGAGATTTTTTTCCCCTTCTCTAGGAGTTATTGGAGAGGAGAATGGTTAGGTGGCCTAGTGTGATTTTTATAACCACTGAGGCTCTGATCTTCGTCAGTGAGTTTCTGGTGCTTGCAAAGAATTTTTCTAGACATTACTTTGGTGGTTACGAACTGTTCACAGAAAATAAGGAGTTGGGTCCAAGTTTCAGGAGGCTCTTGTAGACCATTTTAAAGTAGTTAACATGTTGACTGCAGATTGATACTCTGAACATTGAGTGATACTTTCTTCAGTACTTCATACTTAAAATATTTAATACTGATAAAATTTTTGAACAGGGAGCCATTTAGTATCAGAATGATTGTTGTTGTTAAGTGCCGTCTAGTCGGTTCTGACCCATAGCAATCCTATATTGGGTTTCTCAGGAGTGGCTGGTGAGCTTGAACAGCTGACCCTGTGGTTCAGACTGACCTTTCGGTCCAGTGCTTCATCCCACAGTGCCACACTAGGACTCCATCAAAATGATGCATTCTAATAACAAGTAGACAAATGATAATTAGTAGCAGAAAGAGCTGAATGTTACTCTTAATATGTTCATTTATGTTTTTCTAAAACAATAAATAAGTGTATCAAATCCCTTGTTCTCCTCACAGTGCTCTCCCTAACCCCATCCTGCCTTTCCCACCCTCTCTTTACTCCTCAGAGGTGGCTGCTGTTAAGAGTTTGGTGTGTACCCTTATAAATGTTTTTATAATAATAAATTATGTGAATGTCCAAATATTTTTAAACATAGGTCTGATCTTTACAACTTGCTTTAAAAAGAAATGAACTACAATGCTGCATTGTAAATTTCACCTGATAATCAGACAACTTATGTTAAGTGCATCTGATACAACATTTTAGTGAAAGATATAATATGTACTATATTTTTATTTCTTTCCCCTAAATTAAGATCAGTATAGCACATATGTTTTAAACAGTGTATGAAACTAATGTATCATTTCTTTACCATAAAATATCTGTTTTCATGTTATTTGGTTCCTTGTTCTTTGAGTAAATTTATGGGAACCCTCCTTGTTTGAAAATGTAGCTAGAACAGAAGAAACCAAACACAAAGAGAAGTCTTGGCATGGAATGCTGTTTAGTCTCTTTGTATTTGAGTATTTTCTGCAGTACTGAAATGGCATTAATTTTCCTTTCTATACTTGTTTCCCTTCCTCATTTCCTCCCTCTCTCTTCTCTCTTTGATTTTAGAGAATTTTTATTTAAATTTGTTTTTAATTGTTGTTGTTAGTGCCATTGGGTCAATTCTGAGAAGTAGTTGATGGGTTTGGACTGCCAACCTTAATTGAGGGTGATGACAGTATTGTTATTAAGTGCTGTCAAGTATATTCTGACTCACAGCGGCCATGTATAGGGTTTCCGAGGCTATAAATCCTTGCAGGAGCAGAAAGTTACATCTTTCTTCTTCAGAGGAGTGGGTGGACTTAAACCGCTGACTTTATGGTTCACAGTCCATTGCTTATCATACAGAGCCACCATGATCCCCTAACTGGAGGTTGTTGTAGTTGTTATGTGCTGGTGAGTCAGTTCCGACTCATAGAGACCCTGTATAGTGTTTCCAAGGAGCAGATGGTGAGTTTGAAGTGCTTACTGTGTGGTTCAAACTAACCTTGTGGTCCAGTGCTTTGTTCTAGAGTGCCACACCAGTTAGTAATATAGAATTGATGTTTAATAACCTAGATAGGGCTATGAAAAGCAAGGCAGGCTAGCTTGCTTTGTTGCAAAGTATTTTAATTCTGGTCATAATTCACTGTTGAATTTAAACTTCTGTTGTGGTGCTGTATTCTGCAAATAAAAGTTTTCCTCTCTCTTTTTCCTTTAATGGACTGTTTTAGAATACTAAGTTTCGTTTTTCTAAAAGGTATCACTGTTATGTAAAACATATTTGTAATGATAGGTGTTTTTTCTTTTAGTTCCCTTGCTACCAGTTCCAAGCCAGCCCAGACCTGCTGTAGGACCCCAGAGATTCCCAGTGAGTAGCAGCTGTTCCTTCTGCCGTGATATGGATAAGCATACATTTACAAAGTAATATTAATATCACAAATGCAAGTGGTTCCAGCTAAACATAATTTTAAGGATTTGTAAATATTGACAATAATCTCTGTAGTTGAAAATGTTTGTTAAAAGCTTAAGGTCAATGGAGTTTTGAGACTAGAATTAATTTTGTTAAACTGTAAAATTATTGAATCAGAATCATCAGTGGAATGCCTTTCGTCTGAAAGAATATGGATTTTCATTTTATTATTGCCTTCTTATGTTAAGTACAAAGGTCCTTGCTTTATTACAGGGCGTATGTATGTTTGTACATGTGTGGGTAAGAACATGAAATTCTAGGGAATAAAACTGAGAATCTCTACTTGGTTTTTAAAAATAATCTCAAAAGTTTTAATGAGCCTTTTGTTTCAGATATTAAAATGGAGAATTGCTCTCTAAAATATCTTTTAAATAAAGAGTATGTATTTTCCCCCTCAACACACACATACACAAATAACTTTCTATAACTTCATCCATTTTCCTAATAATGTAAATAGAAAAAAATCAATTGGTTTTTTGTTTTACTTGAATATGTGACTATGTGGTTTTATTAAGTGAGACTGTTCTTTTTAAAGACGGTATTGAAGTCATTTGTATAAAAAACAGAGGTGGTTGTATTTAGGCTCAACATTCGTTTTCTGTAATGCTTCAGTGAAACCTATTTGACTCTTCAGCTTAACAACTCTAGTTGTTGTTGTTAAGTGCCTTCGAGTTGGTTCTGAGTCATAATGACCCGTATAGGATTTCTGAGGAGTGGCTGGCGAACTTGAACCATTGACCTTGCGGTTTAAACCGACCTTGCAGTCCAGCTCATCCCACAGCACCACCCCAGGACTCCTTTGATACTGTAGCAGAAACTATGTTTATGTATAACCATTAATAAAAAGATTTTAATGAATTATGCATCTAGTTGTCTAATCAGGTGATCATTAAAAAATCAAATCAGTGTAGAATTTTAAATGTAGGTTATGTTTTGAATTCAACTAGCTATGATATGGTTTCTCAAATTGGTTCTTATTGGTTTCATTTCCTTTTATTTAGATGTTTATTAAAATTATCAAGCTTTAAAAACAATTTTAAAAAATCTTGGCATTCAGTAAATTGTAATCTCTATTTAAAACACTCGTTCAAGTAGCTCAGGTTTATTAATGGCAATAACCTTGGATGACATTGTTGTTAGGGCTCATCGAGTCACTTTTGACCTGTAGTGACCCTGTATGTGGTTCCCAGGGAGTGCCTGGTGAGTTTGAACTACAAACCTTAAGGTTCAAACCTCATTGGAAACATTTTTTGGTGACAAAGTTTAACTGCCAGCTATTGAAAACCATTAACATTTTTAGAATTATTTGTTATTTTTAAGATTGTGAGTATCTGTGTGAAAATAATTTTTTAAATTGCTGAATGCTTTATTTGATTTATAGAGATGTTTTAGGGATAAAATTTAAAGTGAAAAAAGCAATTATAATTTCAAGACTGAGGCTTAAAACAATACTTCATGTAAGAAATACTGTTTTTTAAATGTGTTTACTGATATAAAGTTAAGATAGTGTTGTGAAGTGCCATTGAGTCAGTTCTGACTCATAGCAGTCCTGTGTAGGATTTCTGAGGAATAGCTGGTGGGTTTGAATTGCTGACCTTAAAGTTAGCAGTCCAGTGTTTTATCCTGCAGTGCTATGTTTTATCCTGCAGTGCTATACCAGGACTCTAAAATTAAAAGATACTTTCACTTTTTATTGATTTTTATTTTTCAGTTATGCAAATAGCATCTTCTGCTAGAAGAAAATCTCTCAAATAAGAATATTACAAGAGAAGAATGAAATAAATTTTTTGAGAAATTGAACTTAGTGTTAGTTACATACTATTATGGGCTTCTGGTGTGGCACTATGAACCACAAGATCAGCAGTTCAAATCCACCAACTGCTCTTTGGAAACTATACAGAGTCGCTATGAGTTGGAACTGACTCAATGACACTTAAAACAAAAGCAACATAATATTATTATGAAGTTGTTAAATATTATTGAACTGCCTTGGAAAATTTCAACAAGGCATACTTTTCCTTTTGAGAAGGTGCGGGGGATGTGTGTGTGTGGGTGATGGGAAGGAATTGAGCTAGAAATCAAAGCTCAGGTCCTTAAGATTGTTTGACATACGGTATGTTTCTTTAAGGCCCAAAGAATAGCTCTTAAGATGAAGTTATGGCAGACCTGTGGTTTTGAATATTCTCATTTCTATAATCAGTTTCCCTTAAAGGAAATGAGCAAATGTGAGACATACTTTTAAAAATACATGTAAGGTCTATGTTTTTTAAAAAAGTCAATCAAAATATTGTTGAGGAGAGAAATAAACGCTTTACAGATAGTCCCTGACTTACTATGTATTTTGTTTAAGACAGACTGTATTTAGGACTATCTGTTTTTGGGTTTTGTACATCTTAAATTAGTAATGCGTATTGCACACAGTGTTACAGCATGTGATCTGCTGGTGTTCAAAGATACTGATAATGAAATACAATAATAATGAAAGCGTCTCCCCTCCTCCTGCCCCCCAGATATTCATCTTAGCATGAGAACTGACTTATGACAAAGTTGTCAGAATGGAGCTCTGTCTTAAGGTGCTTTGTAAAGCTGCTTTCTGTTTTTTTGATTAAGCCAGAGCTTTTATGAATAAAATTATTTTTCCCTTTTTACTACTGAATTGAGCTTGGCTGCTAAACATTTCATGAGGACCTACTTACTGTATGCCAACTGCAAGAGGAATAAGCATAATTAAGCATGACTCATAGCCTTAAACTAAATTTTCACTGAAGTAAAATGATAAAAATGGTAAAGACAGTCTTGTGGTTTATCAAAGCTCCTTTTTTGAATGATGGCATGCTCTGCATTACCGTTCTCAGTATTGTCTTGGAGTAGGGATTCAGTAAATATTTGTTAAATGAAATTTTATTTTTTAAAATAATTATACACACACGGACATTTACAAGATCTTCAAGTTAGGAAGCCTAACTTCAGATTCATCATAAGTCTCTGAATCAGTATACTTCTTGGTACACAAACCTAAGGTTTGAATTATAGAAATCCCTGTGGTAGTTTACAATGAGATCAGCAGTTAAGCAAATGCAGGATGTGTTGTGATACTGTCGTTTAATGACTCCTGTTGCTCTTGTGATAAATTATTCCTGTTAAAAATCTCAATACATATGTATGTGAGTGTAGCATATTCAGATTAGAGTTATAAGTTTACTTTCATTTGTGTGATATTAGAGTAATGTCTATAGGTAAACTTCATTGGTTCAGAATCCCAGTCTTCCTGTCCTCAATGCTATATACCTACCTTTGAGCCTTATGTACAGAAGATGTAAATAATGTTGGCTGAAGAAATGCACACAGGGATTCAGTATTGAGCCGCCATATGATTGCTTAGGAGTTCTACATAAGTCGTGTAGTGTAAAACAGAGGTCTGTCTTTTTAATGTTAAATTATATCATGTACAGTTCCAGAACTTTTAATTAATTTTGTTGTTGAGAATGTACACAGCAAAACCAAAAGCAAACCAATCCCGTGCCATCTAGCCATTTCCAAATCATAATGCACTTATAAGGCCCTACAAGAGTAGAACAGGGTTTCTTTACAGAGCAGACTGTCTCATCTTTCTGCTATATAGTGGCTGGTGCTCAAGCTGCCAACCTATTGGTTAGCAGCCAAGTGAGATGTACCTGTGCAATTCTGTGATATGTATACTGTACATTGTACTATACAGTAAGTTTCCAGGTTACAGGGTGCAACTAGGTCAGTTCCTACTTACAAGGTCAGTTCCTACTTACCCTTTAACGTTAATGTAAATCACCCTCATTTTGAAATAATTGAAACATCAGTCTACTTGTGCTAAAAGTGTCTCCTGTAACGTTAGAACATTTGAATATAATTTAACAAAACAGTTACATTTTTTGAGTTTTTTCTTTTGAAGACGTAGTGCGAATAGGGGAGAGACTAGTTTACCTTGGTGTAAGTAAGCAGGTACAGTAAAACCTGTGAGAGCTGGGACGTGCGTCAGGCAGAAACCCATCAGAGAAGAAACATTCAAATACTTTCCACCACAGTGAGAGGTAGAGAACTTTCAAGTCCCAGAAACCAAGGCAGCCCTGCCAAGTTCCAGTTCTCATAAGTTTCACTGTATATGAATTCTGTTCTCACTTCGAAATGTTTGCTGTTTTAACAAGTTGGTCTCATTATTTTTCACAACGTCCATGATGGTGTCTGCTTTCTTTTTGTGTCATTACTTTACAATTTTTAAATACTGTCCTTATCCATTAGTGCATTTTCCAGTTCACGTTTGTTCTAAAATATACTGTGTGGTTCTTAAACTTTGTTCACTTAATCTTATTGGAATAAAATGTTGCTTTGAGGTTTTGTTAATCTGTTTCTGTTTCATTTATTGGTATGCTCACAACTAGTAACTGCTTGTGAGCATACCAATAAATACATAGTCACTAACATTTTAAAGATTCTTAACCTAGGGTACTTCAATGTCTTATGATTTTTCATTGATGTGTCAAGTAAATGCTGTTATTTCAGGGTAGCCAGTTAATTACCAAGTAATTTGGCTACTGAATGATTTCTTAGTGTTCTTTGTTAAATTAGGTTTAAAAATCATGGGTTAAAAAGGACTGTACCTTTAAGTTTAATCTTCCTAGCAATTTTATTATTAGGTAGAGCCAATAAATGAAATTTTATTTGTGTTTACTCTGTAGTTAAGCAAATCACAGGAAAAGCATTCTGTTTGCAGTTCACAGGGTGCATGGTATCAGGTGGTGGTGATTGACGTTTAGTGGATGTGGTTTTTTACGGCATTTCATGCAAATCATGTTTGATGAGACTGCTGCATCAAATTACATTTCTTTCTGATTATAGCTCTTGCAGATGTGAATCCAGACTTTATT